AACCAAATTTGGAGCTGTGCAACCAATTCGTTTTCTGTGGGTGCACCCAAATAATTTCGTAGGTGTACGTAACATTTTAGATATTCTTAACATCAAAGTGTCAGAAGAAGAATAAAATCATTGTACAATTGTAGTACTTTTCGTTAGAAATGAAACATACTTAGGTCTTTCTGACATTATTCTATTTATTCTATTTTATATGGTGCGCCCAAAAATTTTTGTGCACCAGTGCACCTATTCCCCAAAATGAATTTCGAGCCCTGGTCAGTGAGTGCTGCATCAGCAAGAAGATAAGAACGTCGTCTTCACGCGTTCTGAAGCTTTTACCCAATGGATGCGATTCTTTGATCTTGCAACCTTTTAGAATCCCTTTGAAATTTTGAACTTCGCCGCCTGTATGTTATAGATTAAAGTCTGTATACTGTACGCATTTCGCAGTGAAGGCCAAAATTATCTGTTAATCTAGAATGATCACAATCTGGCTACCCAAAGCAATTTTGTGACCTTGCAGCCATTTAGAGTCTTTCTGAAAATTTGAACTTCGCTGTCTGTAATTTGTAAAAGTCAGTATATTGTAGCGTTAAGGCAGTATATTTGTACGTATTTGTGGAGATTGAGCCAAAATTATCTGTTTATTTTAGCCTCCACCAGGCCTTTCTACGGGAATACGGATCGTAGAATTAGGCAAAAAAAGAGAGTAAAATTGGCCAGGGGAGTCCGGCAGCGGGGAGGTAGTTTCTTTCCCTGCGCGGCCAGTCAAACCTACAAGGCGGCCAAACTCCCCTGGCAGACATTCTCCTATATATATATAGCCAGCGTAGTTAGTCTGGTAGATACTATGTTTATTTAGAGCGTTCGCAATGCCGCTAACATGGCTAAAGGAGCATGAAATTGCCCGTGTGCTAGCGAAGCCGAAAAAAGGTCGGTTATACCTTGGTTATACATATTCAGATTCGGATCATGCATTTGGGGCTCGGCTCTTTCATCCTTCAAGGCCACAGTGCTGCTGCATTCCTTTTGAAGACAATGTTCAAAAGATGGAACGCATCAAACCAAGGGAATAGTAGCGTCGCTTTTACCTCCAATCAGATCTTGTGGTGAATGAAAAACAGTATATCAAACTGGAAGATCAGTATGAAACTGACAAGACAGCATCAAATTGGCAAGGCCGTATCCAATACAACATTCGCAGTTTGGTTAGCGCAAGGACATTATCGTATAAAATGTCCTTGGCTAGCGTAAAAAAAAAGATATCGTAAAAAGAAAGCCCGTTCATATAAATGGTCAGACAGGAGTCTAAATCCCTCCTGCTATAAAATTGCAACATGCTGTAACCCAACACTAGTTACCATAGTAACAGACACAACATTGGCTCAGGTCATTGAGGTCACTATTTGGAGAAAGAAGAAGAAGAGGAATAAGAAACTGAGCAAAAACAATATGTTTTCCTTCGGTAAACATAAAACTGTTTGGAGAAGAAGAAAAAGAGGAGGAAGAAGAAACTGAGCAAAAACAACATGTTTTCCTTTGGTAAACATAATAAAGCATGAAATTGACAGTGTGCTAGCGTTGCTAGCGTAAAAAAACGATTTCGTAAAAAAAAAGGAAAACCCGATAAAATACTGTAATAGTACTAGACTAATACTGTAATAGTACCGATTTTACATTAGCAGCTTATCTAAGTGCTGCACGCATCTCGTGATGATGCTTGTAGCTATTAACCTAATTTGCATACTCGTGACAATCCGCGTGACGGGCGAACAGTAGAATAGATGATGGCGCTTTGTGATAACAGTATTAGTAAGGCCTAGGAAAACAATATTGTGTTTCCTGTTTCACGTCCGATCCTAGAAAAAACTGCTGACCCTCGCCTTTTTTTGTGTGGACACCTGCAAGGGACTTAATTTTTTGTAGCTAAGGCCACACCAAGTAAATTTTATGGATGACGTCCGCGCGCGCATTGATTTTGGCCTGTTCCTTGAAAAAAAAACAAGAAATTCCGCTTCCTGTAACTATGACCAAAGAGTCACGACAGTGCCGCAAATCGTCAGATTGACGTCAGATTGACAGGACAGGATGACAACTGCTGTTCCACCTGATTTATTGCTGTTTTGATGATGAATAAAAGACTTCTTGCTTGTTACACTGTGTCACCTCATTCAATATGTGTCCTAACATTTGTCATCTCTTAGTATATTTCTAATCTAGGCATCTTGTTTTTTAGGGCCCTTCTTGTTTTTTTTTCGCCCTCTCGCATTAGATTTAGGGTCTCCAAAGGACGTCATCCATAAAATTTACTTGGTGTGGCCTAATCGACCTTTTCTAGGTCCATGATCTCTGACACCTGAGTGAAGAAACCTACGTTGTACCATTGGTTTTCCAACATTGACTTTGAAAATATAAGTGTCCTCATGCAAGTTTTACTTTATTAAACTGCATTGTATACGTTGGATCCCTAGAAAAGTAAAAAAAAAAGAGATAATAATAAAGCGTACCCACCGACTCTTTTTTTTTCAGGACTGAAACAGGAAACACAACATTTTTTCCCTGGCCCTAACAGTTTTACCTACGGGGGTAACGTTGTCAGGTAGGAATGAATACAAAGAGGCATCTAAGGTCACAGAGTGTGTTTAATAATGTATCACATATAAAGGGCAGCACTCTAGAATAATTGAATAAATGTGGCGTCTGGGGACGAATAAAAACGCCCTGTCTGGTCCATGTCATGGCCGGTCTTCAAGAATATACTTATAGCTACTTGAAGCGTGTGTGTGTGTGTGTGTGTGTGTGTGTGTGTGTGTGTGTGTGTGTGTGTGTGTGTGTGTGTGTGTGTGTGTGTGTGTGTGTGTGTGTGTGTGTGTGTGTGTGTGTGTGTGTGTGTGTGTGTGTGTGTGTGTGTGTGTGTGTGTGTGTGTGTGTGTGTGTGTGTGTGTGTGTGTTTGTGTGTGTGTGTTGTGTTGTGTTGTGTACAGCACCAAGGACAGGTGTGTTTGCCTGTGTGTGGATGGTGTTCAGCACCAAGGACAGGTGTGTTTGCCTGTGTGTGGATGGTGTTCAGCACCAAGGACAGGCATGTTTGCCTGTGTGTATGGTGTTCAGCACCAAGGACAGGTGTGCCTGTGTGTGGATGGTGTTCAGCACCAAGGACAGGTGTGTTTGCCTGTACTTGTAGTTTCTCTATTACGACAAAGTCTACTATACGCGGCATTGTTCCCAACACAAGTCGATCGTATCCCGTATGTATATCTGTCTCCATTTTCCTACTCTTAGGCATATAGGGGTGCTAGGGGTAACCCAGTGTGCTTGCCTGAATAATACGCGAACTGTACTGTGAATTAACGAAGCGTCATTGCACAACTACAAAAAGCTAGTCTCTACCAGACTAACTACGCTGGCTGTATATAGGAGAATAATTGCCAGGCGAGTTTGGCCACCATAGGGTTTGAATCCCTTGGCCAATTTTACTCTATTTTTTTGCCGAATTCTACGATCCGTATTCACGTAGAAAGGCCTGGTGGAGGCTAACAAAAAGCGCCATGCTTCGTCATGACATCAGTCTGAGGTCGTTCTTTTCATCTCGCCTTACCTTTAATACCTTTCCTTACATCCGGCGTGGCTGGAACTGACGTGATAAAATCGCCCCATTCCACCCGACCGTTCACCACCACGCTAAGCGTATGCCATATTCCACACTTCCATTTCACAGATGAAACCGTAACATTGGAAATATTCAAGTCTAACAGATCCATGCATATGGCGATGACCTTTCACATTCCATAGAGATAATACAATAATATATAGCTACCCCACCTACATTGGCGTTAAATAGCGGCGAGTTGCAGAACTCCAGTCAGAAGCTCTGAGGAAGGTGTCTGATAGACATCGAAACGTAAGCAGGTGAGAACCTTACTGGTTGTGTAAGAAGAAAATTCTATACCCTAAATATATAGCTACCTCCCCGTAGACAATATTCTATTTGATCTAATGTTACAGAAAGCTCTTGTAGTCTGTTGCATTCTGTAAGGACGCAGTGAGCAAGACTAGACAACGTTACATAAAAACTCTTGATTCGCTCCCTGGAGCATGCGGCGTTGAGTGACTGAGTATAGACTCTACAAGACTAACTACGCCGGCTATATATAAGAGAATATTTGCCAGGGGAGTTTGGCCGCCTTGTATAGGTTTGACTTCGGGGGAAAAGAAACTACCTCCCCGCGGCCGGACTCTCTTGGCCAATTTTACTCTCTTTTTTGCCAAATTCTACGATCCGTATTCCCGTAGAAAGGCCTGGTGGAGGCCAGACTGAGTAAGTGAGTTGATTGGTGTCCATGGTAGCCTATACATCACTTGATTATTGACTTACTTCAAGTGATATTCAAGTTTAATCGAAACCCTTGCTGCAGTGCGCACTCCCACTGCTTAAACACAATTTGTAGCACTCGCCCACACAATCATGGGCCTACTGTGTGGGGATAATTGCAGGTCTTGAAACACAAGATACCGTTCCATCTTGTTCTCCAATCAACGGAAAAGTACCCTCTAAAGCGTCAAGTGCCTCTTCTATCATATCCAAGACCGCACCTGTCTAGTTCTATCCAGAAATAAGGAAATGCAAGGAAAAAACGGAAAGAAACGGTTCCGGATAGTCTCCGCGTATCTGAGTACGTAGGTTTGCCCCAGGCACGGTTCTGGATACGTGTGGACTATCCAGAACGGTTCTGGATACGTGTGGACTATCCAGAACGGTTCTGGATACGTGTGGACTATCCAGAACGGTTCTGGATACGTGTGGACTATCCAGAACGGTTCTGGATACGTGTGGACTATCCAGAACGGTTCTGGATACGTGTGGACTATCCAGAACGGTTCTGGATACGTGTGGACTATCCAGAACGGTTCTGGATAAAGCATGGTTCTGGATACAACGCTACTCAATCTTATTAAAATTGTTTATCATTGTATACAGGACAACAACAACATCATCAGTAGGACCGATATCTAAAGATGGCGTCTCTCAGGATATGCAGCCTTGCAGCCGTGCTGGTGATAGCTGTGTTCAGTCTACCAGGTGAGTGATGGGGAAGAGCTATGCACAGATAAGAAAGATGAGCTCTGCACTGCATCATTCTATTTCGGTATCTTAACGAAGTATCTGAGCCGTCAGAACTCTGCCTAGAAATCTAGAGTAAGGCCTCAGCAAGTAATTTTAAAGATAACATCATCAAAATTGATCTTCGTCTGATTTTGGAGAAAAATAAATACATTTTTTTTGCCTTCTGACAGTGGTTGATATGCCGAAAATTGGGCAAGATGTCTGTTGCCATGCCAGTACGTGGATGGCCGATAAATATGAGGAGAGAAGAAAAGAGAAGGCTATGATTTATTGATTTGTCTTTAACTTTGATGTAGTTATGCATTTTATTCCTTTGATATGTGATGTTTCAGCCCTTGAAACTGGCCAACTGTGTACTGCATTGAAGCGCCTCTTTGCGGCTTTTGAAAACACTGCAGGGTGTAATGCATCCCTCTCTTTGCAGCTGAAGGCATTAAGTGCTACCAGTGTGTTGGGCTTGGCGGAAAAGTGAAGGGGAACAGTCCATGTGTGGGAAACTACTTGGACAACTATGTACCGTTCAGATGGTATTGTAGCGCCATCTTGCGACTTTTTAAACCACTACAGGGTCTAATTCATCCCTGTCTTTGCAGCTGAAGGCATCAAGTGCTACCAATGCGTTGGTCTGGGAGGAAAAGTAAAGGGGAACAGTCCTTGTGTCGGAAACTACTGGGACACAGGCGCAGGGGAGTGCCCCGCTACTCATAACTACTGCTACATCGTACAGACCACCAGCGGATGTGAGTATATCCTAATTTGTACTGAGAATGGATGAGAGAGCGAGACAGAGAGACGGATAGAGGGAAAGAAAGAAGAAAGAAAGAAGAAAGAAAGAAAGAAAGAAAGAAAGAAAGAAAGAAAGAAAGAAAGAAAGAAAGAAAGAAAGAAAGAAAGAAAGAAAGAAAGAAAGAAAGAAAGAAAAGAGACGTCCTCTTGGGTGGGACGTAAAGCCTTAAGCCCAGTATTTCAGGATAGCTACACATTGAGCAAGTTAAAGAACCCACCACACTTATCGAAAACATTTGGAGAAATTATGTATCAAGTATTAGAGTTTGAATTATCCATGGCTCTATGAGTAGGGTTTACCTTGATATCTTCATCAACGTTCCAAGAAAACGTTTGAACTCATTTTCCCACAGTGTCGACCATCGCCGTGGATAGAGGTTGTGCGAACGTGACCAAGAGAGCCTACTGCAATAGCCAAGCTGGACAGACATACTGTTACTCCTGGTGCAACAGTAACAGCTGCAACAGCGCGACCTCCATGGCGCCTGGGTTCCTGGCTATCATCATTCCAACGATCGCTCTCGTGTTGCTAGCCTGGACAGGGCTGTGAGCAGGCTCTTTCGGTTGTGTTTATTGCATAGCCTCTACCAGGCTTCGGGAGGCGGCTGGAAAGAGTAGAAATTGACCAAATAGAGAGAGATAACATGCCGAGGGAGTTGGTCCGATAGTACAGTTTGCTGCATCGCTAGCTGACCAACTCCCCTGGCATGTTATATCTCTCTATTTGCCCGATTTCTACTCTTTCCAGCCTCCTCCCGAAGCCTGGTAGAGGCTATAGCTATTCATTGCATACTAGTTTATTGTTAGGCCATACTGATTCAACTAATGTATATGTATGACATCCCTTGGCACCCCCGAAAACTGATACTTAGCAATACATGTTTTAGATTCTAGACTTTTTGCATAATAATTAGATTCAAGACTTTTTGTGTCATAGAAAGCTTTTTAATGCGTTTATACAATCTTTATGTCAGTTACGTATGTCGTTCTTACGTAATGCCTCAATTAAAAAATTACTTGCTGTTACTTAGTTTTAGACAGTTGCGTCTGCTGCTTTCGTATAGCGCCGCCCAGCGATTCATACAACAAGTGCAGGGGACTAGTTCATCAGGTGTTAGGTATATTACAGTGGACTTGTGTGGTTAGAAGTTAGTTCATCAAAAACAAAACTTGCTTTCCAGTAATCACATATACATTTAGTTTCCATACTTATTGTGTTAGGATATATATGTCAAAGTGGAGATTTCAATCGAAGTCAACAGAAACTCAGATCAAAATGGTGTCAATGTGTTAGGGTGGTTTCCAATTTCTGGTTTCAAATTATAAATTTTAAGTCAATTCATTGATCTAAAGTGACATGAATCAACTTTTAAAAAGTTTGAGTTCTGCACTGTCTTTTAAGCGAATATCTTAATTAAACTTTACAGACATTCAATTTACCACATCGGAATCTCTACCTTGACATATTATATTGAAAATATTTATATAATGATTAATTAACTTCATAGCACAACAGTTGTACTACGTACAACGTATGATATCTAAAGTTATATAGATCATCGTTGTTACATTGACTATTGACTATATCTGAACACATAAACAGATATTGCCAACAATACGTATGATTGATTATGGTATAAAATTGTATGTTTCCTAGCCCTATTAGCCTCTACCAGGCACCGCGGATCGCTGGAAAAATAGTAGAAATTGGCGATGGGTCGCAAATTGGATCTTCACTCTGGCCGGATCTTCACTGGTATACTATCACTTTATTTCGGCCAATTTCTACTATTTTTCCAGCGATCCGCGGTGCCTGGTAGAGGCTAAGCCCTATAGTTTTACAGTGAGATCTCAATGGCGTACAATCATAGGTGTAACTGTTGGAATAGATGTAATTCTCTGTATCATTGTGTAGATGGAACGTTGATTTGTATTTAGGGAAAAGTATAAATATAGTGTCTTATACATATTTTACAAGAAGTGGGGTATTTATATAATTTGTGTAATAGATGTTTTTGTCTATAAAAAAAAATCTGCCTAGTCTATAGTGATGATGTAAGAAATGTAAAAATTGAAATCTTCATGAAGCAAGTCTAAACTGTAATTTCCAACACAAGAAATTGGACTTACCGAAATTTTCAACTGTACAATTCTTTACAAGTCTTTGTCAAGGAATGAGCAATCCACCGCTTCCGTGACGTCACGCAGATAACACACGTGACTCAGTGAGCAGTGGATCATAGGTTGCAGAAAGTCTGTGGCGCCCCCCGTCATTCTTGAGGGATGGCTGAAATACCTCAATGTTGTGTTTGTTTGTGCTGAAAACTACAGTTAAAACTTGCTTCATAACTTGATGACTTTTACCAACGCAGATACGATTTAAACCTTGTATAGATGAGTGATTGTTTAGGTGTAAATGTGAAGTGGTGAGTGAATAAAGTACTGTCGTCAAATCCAAGCCATTCATAGCTTGATGAATCTTTGTCTCCATGTCTGTATTTTTCTGTTATGTAGTCCAAATTCAAGCGGCCCGAAGATTAAGTCATTAAGCTTTCCACGAACTTTAACTTGAACAAAAGTCCTACATACACACAGACTGCATGTACATGTACGTTCGGTCAGTCGACGCAGGACGTAAAAGTGTGATTTAAAAAACAATAAAACACACACAACGTACTGGTATTTCTTTTTATGGGAATTTTGAAAATATTCTGGCAAATTGAAAATATTCTGGCTAAAGAAAGTTTCAAGATTCTTTTTAGCCAGAATATTTGTGATTTTTGTCACCAGATGCAGAAGTGCCAAAATTCTTAGGTGCCATGGCACGAACCAGTTCAAATATACGGACCATCGAAACCCAAACTTCACAGGGTAAGCAAAAAACTCTCTTCCGTCACATCTGGCCGTTTTCCCATGTACTTTGGCAAACGCGCTAGCAGCAGCAGTAACTGATAATATATAAGTAAATACCTGGCTAGGTCTGTGCACACTCATCTGCATCTGTTAGCAGCCTGAAGAAGACGAAGTCACCATGAAGCTTGCTTTAGCTGCGGTTCTGGCCGGTATTTTCTTGGCGGCTCAAGCAAATGGTTTGTTCAAGTCGTTTTGGCTACGATCTAAATGCGATGTACCTGGACGCAAAGCTGCTGTCATTGTAAATTTTGCGTAGCTTAATATGTACTAGATCGTAAACTGGAGATTGCCTATACTACTTCTACTAAGGCCTTGGTCACAGACATTGCGCTATGCGCCTATGATGTTTTTCTTTTCCTCCACGATATAGCCCTACGTTTGAGAAGAAATGGACATGGCACTTCGATTTTTATTGTACTCGTTTCTTCTCAAACCTACAACGTACAGTGATATCGTTGTTAAAAACCTGTCGATATATGTAGTAGTTGCATGTTACGTAATATAATTGTACTATTTTGCCTAATTGTCTAATATTTTTGCCATACATTGCCTCCCTACCCCCAACCCAGCTGCCTGCCCCAACTGTAAGGTAGACATGTGTCTGGAGGGTGTGTACGGCTGTCTTCAGTGCGAGGCGGGGTACTATGCCTTCCACCAGGGCGGGTGAGTCTAGAATATCATCACTACTATCGAAGTCTGCAATAAAACATTCGGTAAAACTAACCGCTACAAAATGTAGGCTCCGTAGCAGGCTTATAGAACTGTGGGTTTGGTGGTCTTCGGCTGTTTTCTGATTTGCCCAGTTAGAAAAAAATGGGGGTAATTCAACCAGGCCGGCTATGTTGTCTATATGCAATCAGAAAATAGCACATAAAAGCTCCCAAAGACCCTGAAGACCCCAAAACCCCCAGTCTTTGGCATCTATGGAGGCTATACAAGATGAGTTCATATGTCGTAGGTAGAGCTGTGTATCTAAACAAATTTTAGGTACAGGTACAGGTACAGGTACACAGGTTTAGGTACAGGTCCGGACCTGAACCTGTACCTGAACAATTCGACCAATTTTAATATGCTCTTCTGAACTCCTTCAATAACAAAAAAAAACAAAAATAAACTTGATAGTTAAGGTTTATTCTTTGTTTATGGCGAATGCTCAGATAAAATATAGGCTATATATATGTTTTTGTTTTCATGAACACACTGTCCTTACACAGGGACCCATTGTTAACCAGCTATTTACACATTTGAGGTCACAAATAGGCATGAAATTGGTGTGAAATTGTTTAGGTACAGTACCGGTACTGAGGGATTAGGTATTTTGGACCTGTACCTAATCAATTTTACCGGTACAGTATCGGTACTGCGTACCGGTACACAGCTCTAGTCGTAGGCCATTTATGCAAACGAAAATCGAAATCTCCATTATGATTACGAAGTTTATTAATATGCACTAAAGACGGATATATAACATATTCATTTCTTAACACGTACATATTTTTATTGCTATCATTGTGCATTGCTTTTCTCAACCGATGACTCTTCTCGTTTTTTGTCATTATCGTCAAGTCGCTCCTACGCTTACACCCAGATGTTTGCAAAATATGCTTGAAGTTAGTAGGAGAAACCGCAAATATTTACATGTATGGAAACCACATTTTCAGCTGCAAAATTCAGCCTATTGGTATTGCTTGTTACTGTAATTTTTTAAGGGTGTCGGTGGCTTCAGTGGCGCAACGGTTTAAAGCGTTGGACTCGGAACCAATAGGTCCCGGGTTCGATACTCACCGCCCGACGTTGTGCCCTTGGGAAAGGCACTTTACACGACTTCCCTACCTGTACGGTGGAGTGACGCCCACCGAGCCTCTTAGGTTAATCTGTCTAACTGTGTGCCAAAAATCGCACTACAGATTTGGTGCGCCAATGTGCCAACATCTGCACATATGGCACCAATAGCCGTTTTTACTTTCTTTTTTTTCAAGTGTGTACGTGTGCATGGCCACCTGTCCAGCTGGGTACAGAGAGGAAGACACAGTTGACCCTTACACAAACGAGGTCATCGGGCATTGCCAGCGTAAGTCACTTTAAACCCATTCCATTCTCGACGATGTTTGGATATTTTTTTGAGATCGCTGGAAGGTGTTCAATTCTACCAAAGGAAAACATATTGCTCCCTTTTTTCTTCTTCTCCAAACAAATAAGGTCAATGACCTGAACCAGATGTCTGTCACCATGGTAACTAGTGTTGGGTTAAATCCCTTATGTTGTAATTTTACAACAGAAGGGATTTAGACTCCTGTCACCATATATATGGATATGTTTGAGTAACAATTAACTGAGCAGACCATATGCGAAGGTAAACATTATGCATTTGCTTTGCAAATGTTACCTTAAGCTTCTAGTTTTAACCAAGTGTGTAAACAGACCTCAGCATGCTATGTTCTTCCTCCAGAGTAAAGAGACTCTTTTTAAACAACCAAGTCTTTTATTCAGCCGTCGTTTCGGTGCGCATTGTAGATGCATTTCCCTGTAATCCAATCACACGTGTAGATGTGTAAATATTGTACATTTGGGAATGCATCTATAGCAGCAACACCTGTGCTGTAATGCAATGTGAACCAGTCAGAATTGACCTGAAGAAGGTGACAGACGATCACCAAAATGCCGGCTGAATAAAAGACTTGGTTGTGTAAAAAGAGTCTCTTTACTCTGTTATGTATCATTTATTACTTATCGAATGATATATTATTTATCGTTGGCTTGCCGTTCTATTTACTTCAAAGTTCATTATATGATTTGTTAATTCTTTGTCATCACCCTTGTAAATAGTGTTGTTATGATTTTTGTTATTGTTTATTTTGTTTATTATTTATGTAATTCTTATCAGTTTATATTGGTGGGGGCATTAAAAAGGAGTGTTCCTGTTTCCCCCAACCTTTTTACATTTTGTTGTAAATAAAGCTGAAATAAATACTCAGTGCCTTACCAACCTGATGAAACTATTCACGGACTCTTCCTCCACAGTTTGCTATGACCATCACGTGCAGGCCGGGGAGTGTAACTGATACAAACCCTCACAGGTGGCAGAGAAGCATGTGGAAGGAATGTGAGGTGAAATATGCACTTCAATCGCTGAAGCAATGAAATAAAACACTCTCCACTGTAACAGTGACTGATCATGTTTAGATTCATGGGAGATTATAATAATAGTTTATTGTCAACTTTGAAATTGCACATGTGTGGCTGAATTGAAGTAAGGTCACGTTTCTGTAAACGTAACTCTCGCGAGATTACGTTTTGACGCGACTGGTCATTGATTATCCCTATGTACCTATGTAGCTCTATAACTATGTAGATTACCGTTTATTATCATATAGCCAGTAGCCGTTGACCAATCAAAAGGCTCCATTTCCCATTGGTTATCAGGCCGAGGTAGACACTTCGCTATCAGGCCGAGGTAGACACTTCGCTACGCTCACTTGGTGGTTTATATATTCGGTGGTTATTGCACCTGACCAGGGATTATCTCACCATATACACCTCGGGTCGGGGCATTAACCCTTTGATAGTAGATTACACTTTATCCTTTACGAAACTAGCCCTGTCAGCCTTTCAAAGTTCCTCACAAGTCAGCCCTTGGCTGCAAGGAGAGAGAGTAGCCAACCCACCCTAACAATAACAATAACCAGAACAAAACAATTACGTAGATAGCAGTTTAGTAGTAGATTACCCTTGATCCAGTCGAGAGGGACCCTCAAGCAGTCAGCATGAGCTGGAAGGAAGCCTTGAGGCTGGCTGCTGACAGAGGAAGCTGGGCTACATTGACTGCCTCATGTGTCACGAGACGCGGGAGCCCCTAAGTCTAGGAAAGTCTTTAAGAAGCCCAGCTTTCTCTGTCAGAAGTCTTTAAGAAGCTAGCCCTGTCAGTCTCTCGCTCACTTCCCATAGCTTCTTGGCTGTTCCCTCGTCCATGCCATGTTTGGCGGGGTCCTGGATACGGCAGTCACAGACATACTGGCCCGACACTCTGGCCATGTCTTCAGACACGGCACAGTAGATAGAACACTGCGCTCCCTGGTACGGAGTCTGGGGGACAAACAGCAACATTTACAAACACCACATCACACAAGCACCACACAATTAGACTGTACAACAGTCAAATGCAGAATTAGTTTTTATGTGTTGTATATATATTATGTTGGTGTCGTGAATCTGTATGTCTTGTTTGTGCCTACATTGTATTTTATGTATTATGTTAGGTCAGCACAATTCATAAAGTGTCCATAATTTTTATGTACAGCTGCCATATGCTGACCATTATTTGAATAAAGAATAAAACAGTGAATGCACTAGTTGGTCCATCCCTAAAGCATTGCCAAAATAACATAAGGCCTAGGAAAAAATGTTTTGTTTGAAAAACTGAAAACAATCACGGTCAGTGACTAGGGATTATCCTGTTTTCTTCTTTCTTTTTTTTTAGACTAGCTTTTGCGATTGTCTAGGGATCCAACTTGGATTTTTTAAAAAATAAGTCTGGAATCGGTTCTTGACTTTTACTAGTTTTAGGTTTTTTTGGACTTGAACCTAAACATTTTTACAAGTCCGGAACCAGTCCAGTGAACCGGTACACGGCACTAGTGCTCACCTTCAAATATGGCTTCAGGATCCTATGAAACAGCACTTTAATGAACCAAGGAGCGCTGCGGAACAGTTCTGACTGCACAGTGCCAGGATGTAGAGCATTCACCGTCACACCTACATGTGATATACATAACAGACAAGGTTGTATGATATCACCATATCAGAAAAGACATTGTTACATTTCTTCAGTCAGTCGGTTGGTCAGTCAATCAATCAATCAGGGGGTGAGTGAGTGAGTGAGTGAGTGAGTGAGTGAGTGAGTGAGTGAGTGAGTGAGTGAGTGAGTGAGTGAGTGAGTGAGTGAGTGAGTGAGTGAGTCAATCAAATCAACTAACCAAATTTAACCCCCACCCTACCCACCTGTTCCCACCAGCCTGTTGCTGAGTTCCCTTGTGAACAGGATGTTCATGAGTTTACTGTCGCAGTACGCCCGCCCCTCATGGTACCACTTCTCCCCGCTCAGGTTGTCAAAATCCACCTTCCCCCACAGGTGTGCCATGGACGCCACGTTCACGATGCGACTGGGAGAGGACTTCTTCAGAAGATCTGTGAGGAACGAGGTAAAATAAAGGTAAAATTCATCATGAAAGTTCATCTGTGTTGGTAGTAAATTGTTTTTTTGCACAACAGCAATAAAAAATTATGCATTGAGAGCAAGATCAAATCAAAAAAAGGAGGTAACAAACAAAAAAGGTGTCTTTACCCAGTAGGAGGTTGGTGAGAAGAAAATGGCCAAAATGGTTGGCGGCAAACGTAAGCTCCAATCCTTCTTCTGTGAGAGTCCTCTTGGCTGGACCTACATGTAAGCAAGAGCACTGAGTATACATTTGTACTACATGTATGTGTTGTACAGTTCTGTTTTCCTCTATTCAAGCAATGCGTCAATAAAATCAAACTTAAGGTACTGATCTCAGAAAATTTACAGCATATATTTGCTCCTTGGCAGTTTCTTTGTACATGTACAAATTACCATAGACAAAATCAGGGTAGACTAATAGTAATAGAAAATTAGGAACATACATATACGTACTGTATCTGTATAGCCGGTATAACCGCCCTTCGGCGTAACACATGTACACCAGCTTCTGTACATGTATCTGTATCTGTACAGCCGGTATAACCACCCTTCGGCGTAACACACCAGCTTCTGTATCTGTATAGCCAGTGTAACCGCCCTTCGACATAACAAAAAGAGTTCCACTCTACAAAAGTACACATACCTGTCGTCCCAGCATTGTTGATTAGTACATCAAGTTGAGGTTCTTCTTTGTAGATGTCCTGAGCAAAAGTCCTGACAGAAGCCAGACTACTCAAGTCAACCTCCTTCACAAGAACAGATGTGTTACCTGCAAAAAGGATACAGTGAAAATAATGTCAAATCAGTTTAGCTCTCTGAAGAATTACAGTACACTGGTCGGTTCTTTTCGACAAGTACAGTAAACAGCAATCCAATTTTTGGCTTAATGTCCTGTCCTAAGGACTGAGGAAGTAAAAATCTTTACACAAGTAAAAATCAGCTCAAATAAGTTTTAGCTCACTGATGAGCTACTTTTTTGCTGGCAATGACAGAGTAGACAGATGCTATGTACAGTAGTAAGAGGTTCATTGTACCAGGGAAATTCCCCCAGCTCTTTTTAACAAGCACAATGAACAGTGGGCTGTGTGCAGTTCTAAGGACTGCAACCCTTTCTAATGGCTGCATATCGGGTGAGCGACAACAGCTGGGATTCAAACCCCCAACCTCTTGGTCCAGAGGCAGGGTCGATTAACCACTATCCTACAGTTGGTAAGATGGCACCATGGATAGAAAATGAGTGGTGCAGGTAGAATTGTCAGGTGCAGGTACATGTAAATTTGTTACCTGCACCAGTGCACCTGGTATGTAGAAAAAAGTATTTTGAGCCCTGAAGTGTTACCTGTAATTTTGATGATGTCATCCCTGGTTGCTTCAGCCTTGTTCCTGTTCCGACAGGCTAGAATAACCCGCGCATGTCTGCGGGCCAGCTCAAGGGCAGTCGCCTTACCTATACCTGCAGATCAGTGAAATATGTATATAGTAATGTCATTCAGAATGTCAAACACTTCTTAGTTCATAGGGACAACTTGTTAAAACTGTCAAATTCATAAGTATTGTACATGATGTAAATGAATGAATGAATGAATGAATGAATGAATGAATGAATCAATCAATCAATCAATCAATCAATCAATGAGTGCAAATGCATGTGCAAATGCAAATCTTATATATAAAACATTATTACCTTTAATATTCATATATAATATCTCCAATTTCTATATATGATTATGATAAAACCAAGCTCCTTGATAAAACAGAAGCACACTGTCGAGTCTACATCTTGCTAATACAATAAAAGTACATGTACAGCAACTTTTGCAGTGATACATATCTATGTACAAACAGAAAACAAATTGGCATCAAATAAGGTTATTATTTTTTTATGTTGTAGCATAATAGTATAATGTTAGAAGTAGATATAGTCTCACATATCACTGTATTTTCTTTCTATGTTGTTTGTAACTGCAATTAGCCCTCGGGCAAGTATTTGCAATAAACTTTCATTAAATCATAGACTTGCCAGTATTGGCTCCAGTGATGATGACAGTTTTGCCCCTCATATCTGCTTGGCTCTTGCAGTACCCAAACCGCCCAGTCCACCATTTCTGCAGCACCACAAGCAAGAACACAACCACCAGCAGCACTAGATACCACTCCATCGTTGTCTGTTCCAGTTAGCAGCAAAATACTAGTATGACGCCCACCTGTAGTAAAACCAAAGTGCAAGGGTGCTTCCAGATGGTGGTGCGACAGGTCAAAAGTCATTGGGAATGGAAGGATCCAATCTATGTGGGAGAGAGAGTATTAAAAGCTCTTAAATACTCCATTTTGTCTCGCTAATATGTACCAATATGTACTTGATTTCAATTTTAATACTCAGAGGTGTGCATGTTGATTTTACGGACTCAAAACTAGAGTTAACGTTTATTTCAGGTGAATATTAAGATGAATATAAAAATACACCCCTAAGTTACAAGTGGTTGGTGCCCGTTGCCATGACGTTACGCCCCAAAATGGCGGACAAAACATCTTCGAAAGAAGAGCTCGACAAGTTTCTTCAAAATGTGGACGATATCCGTGAGTTTTGTATCTTCTAAGAAAATATTTCGTTAGATTAAATGATGGGGCTCAGTTTCAATGGTGATAAATGTTAGCATGCCGATGTTGGAGGGAGGTTTCTTACTAAATTGTGTGTGGGGCGATGTTGTAGATTTGGGGGAGGGGGGCACCGTCGCTTCTAGAAGTTTCTAGAACTTTCGCCGTCAAACGGATGGCTAAATCTAACTCTAATCCTAACCTCACCCTTTGGAATGGTTCTAACCACAACCCCGACAAAGAAATCAAGCTACGAAGAACTTTTAACAAGCTTAGATTCATACGTTAAACATTTTATAGCGCCGCGTATGTTGCCTGCTTTTTACTTCCGGGTATGGAAGTTTTTCGTGGATGGGAGGTGAATATGATGTATGACAGTTGATTGATTGGGTGGTCATGCCTGAAGGTGACCCAGTATTGCACAGTGGGTGGTATGTGGAGGAATTCAGGAAGTGCCGTTACTGTATTTATACCCAATTAAGTTTATATTTCATACAATAAAAAAATCACCTCCACAGTACAATACTAGCCTCCATAGCATGCCAAAAACTGGGGGTTTTGGGGGTCTTCAAGGTCTTTGGGATCTTTTATGTGCTATTTTCTGATTGCATATAGACAACATAGCCGGCCTGGTTGAATTACCCCCATTTTTAGAACTGGGCTAATCAGAAAACAGCCAAAGACCACCAAACCCCCAGTTCTATAAGCCTGCTACAGAGGCTAGTACAATAGCAACCCAAAACACTTCCAGGAGGTCTAAAATTTTTAGTTGATAAAGGCTTACAATAAAGGCATTTCATTCATCCTTGTTCTTAGAGTCCATTATCAAAGGCATGGCATCAGGAGATGCAGAAGCCCAGCAGAAGGCTTGTCAGGCGGCGGACGAGAAACTTGGGAAGATCGGGAAGACACCAGTGGACAACACCGGGGTGAACCGGACAGTCATCAACCAGAGAGCCTTCAACGAGATGGACACAGAACAGCAGCAGCCTGCAACTCCAGGGGAAATGGGACAAGGTAGTGTGATGTGTTTTTGGCTAGATAACCTTTGGCTACAAACAGGGCCACGGCCCAGGCCCGCATGCCCTTTTCTGTAATCTGCTGTGTAGAGCATAGACAGGCCCCTCTAAGTCAACATAGAGCGTAATTTGTGCATTTTGCTTAGAGCGTATTTGCCGTTTTAATTTGTACATAATGTGTTGTAACTTGTAGCCACTTGGAATTTATCGAATTTATCGAATTTAGCGTAATCAAGCCTTTTTGAGGCCAGGGACTTTGAGACTTAGAAGCACATATTGGAAGGTGCAGCCCTTCTCTCTGTATTGACAACTACATGTATGTGTAAGATAAATTTATCCCTTTCACCTACAGAAGCCTTCATGGACTTTATTGAGAAGGATGCAGCTGAAAGAGCAGCGAGGAAGAAGGAACAGCGGAAGGAGGCGACGGTTCTTAAGGATCAGGGCAATGCAGCATTCAAGTCAGGAGACTTCCAGACCGCTGTAGACTTCTACACACAAGGCCTGGAGAAACTCAAGGACTTTAAGGAACTCTGGACTAACAGGGCTCAGGTATGAAAGTTCATATGTGTTACTGTTGGTATACTTCATTATGACAAAAAAGGCGTAATGTTCTGTCCAACACTAGTAAATTGTGACTTACCCAAATTCTTAGCTAACTCCGTCAGCGTTGTTCACAGAATGGCTAAGTCCCAATTTTCTTAGTGTTGGACAGAACGTGTAACCTTTTTGTCATAAGGGCTCAAGTATGTAGTTAGAATCTTATCTTGAAAATTCATCTTTGTTGGTAGAAGGTCCTGTTCCACTCTATTGCAGAGCATAGGGTGGCGACCATCTCCATTTCTGTAGCCCTTGGGCCACACAGTTGTGCAAGCACTACAGTAGGGGGCTAGTCTGCTGGTAGTGCTGTGTGTTTGACCTTCCCACACTCTTTCTCTTAGATGCTGAGTGCTAAGCAGAGAAAGAAGTGTGTACCATTTTTAAAGTCTTTGGTATGACCCGGCCGGGGTTTGAACTCACAACCTCCTGGTTACAAAGCGAGCACTCTACCAATTTGTTAGTAGAAGGACTCAGTTTAAAAGTTTCTACATTTCATTCTTCAGCTTTCTTTAGATATTTACCAGTGTGGGGTACGCGTCGAATACCCAAGTGGTTAGATTTTGCTTGCAGACACGAGACCAAGGGGTCAAGAGTTTGATTCCTTGCATTTCTGGCAAGACATTGTGACAAATACATGTAGGTTTGGTGGATTGTTTAATGATTTTTCTTCATTGTTGTTTTATAGGCATACATCAAGCTAGGACAGTATGATGAGGCTCTCTCAGACTGTGATTGGGCAATTAGGGTGAGTAAATTTACATATATTATGCATGATACTGGTTGTTGTACTAGTATATCAATACTATATCACATTGCAAAGTCAATACACACTGTATACAATCATGAAAGTTCATCTGCGTTGTTAGCTACATGTTAAAACTCTTGGTCCAACACAAAAAATTTTCTCACCTATACAATGTATACAGTACACATATAAAAAGCATTGTTGTTTGTTCTTAGAGAACATAGCAAGTAAATGGGAAAATTGAGCCTATCAGCATATCAGACATCATGTAAAAAATGTAGCTGTCTTTTTCATTGGCCAGATAATAACTCATACAATGTATCCTGTTTGTAGTGTGATGAGAAGTATGTGAAGGCTTACATCCACAAGGGCAGGGCACTTGTAGCCAAGAAAGAGTTTGACAAGGTAAGAATAAAGATTCTTTTTGAATACAACAAAAGTTTCTGCTAACTGTTTTTCTGAATCCCAAGTCAACACTACTTGTTCATAAACTTTAAATGTATGTTTGTAATGTTGATTTTTTTTAACGTACAATGTACATGTAGGCTTTGGAGACATACCAAGAGGCACTGAAGATAGATCCAAAGCAAGAAAAAACTGTGAATGGTGAGTCAAAGTCTAGTCCTGTTGATTAATGCATTATGATATGATAACATGGACCAATTCTTGTCAAACTGAGATCTGCCTGTTGACATGGTGTTTGAGGCTGTGATGTCTGGTTTCCATAGTTACAGAGAATCCTATTGGTAGTTCTGGGAATGGGAATGGTTCTCTTAAGTTAGAGGTGTATGACCACAAGCTTTTAGGGAGGAGGCCCAATCAGCTCCAGGCAGAGAGATATATCTTGTATCTTGTATCTTGAGATTTTGTAACACAGTCTCAAAGAGGAGGTTCAGTTAGCCCTGACAGTGAGAGTAACACACACCAAAAAGCAGTTACTCAAGCAACTGGATATGATTTTGGAAACGGTCAGACATTTCAGGTAGCATCCACTACCTTTCGTCAGTGACTGAGAGACCAGAGGAGAAATGCAGGTTTATAAGCACGCTCAAACTTCTGATTGATAATGCAAATAATTGAAGACAATTTTCAAAGGGAAACAAACTTTCTTCTTCCCAGCTTACATCAAAGACTTGAAGACAGTTCGAGCAGTAGAGGAGGAAGAGGAGAAGGCGAGAGGACTGGTGGAAAGTGGGGACCAGGAGGCAGAGGGGGTGGTAGAACTGATCAGGAGAATCAAACAGCCGAACAAGCCGGTTATCTTCTACGCAGGAGGACTGAAGGTATTGACCATGTTCCTCAAGGACTGCACAGAAGACAGTGAGTACACAAATTTTGTCATGGTTGTGTCTTCCTTTTGTTTTCTTAGAATATCAGTATGGAAGATGGAAAATGAAAAGAAACAGAATTGTTACTGAGCATTAACTCAATGTGGATGTGGATAGTGGCTAGGCATACCCAGAGCCACTTTGTAAAGTACATGTATAGTGCTTAGCCACTGGATAAAGAACACAGAAAATAAATGGATAAATAGATAAATTTGTATTCATCATATTTCAATGCAACTGACATGTTTGATCTTATCTACCAGTAACTGTCCTAAGCATTCATATTGTTTGTGTCATCCAAGTTTGTGTAGAGTTAGATACGTTTGATTTTTTTTTTCTCCAGAACATTCAGCTCAGACACTTTTCCGCACATGTGGGGGATTCGAGCTGATTTCTGATGTTCCAGTCATTGCAAGGTACAGTGTAATTGTATCAATTCTATTTTAGCATTAAATTGTAGTTTTATTTATTTATTTATTTTCTGTCATTTTTATACAGGGTGGCCCATTAAGTGATTACACTTCTTTTCAATGGGGCCCTGTTTTACACAACAAAACATAACAGTCACATACAAACAGTAAAAAGGATACAATAAATAATGATAATGGCAATAATGATAAAGAAGAAACAGCAAGTAACCAATAAAATTAATAAATAATGATAATAACAAAAAGTACAGTCCAGTCATTGTCCAGTCCAAATTGTAGTTTTGAGGTACGACTGTGATTTGCTAGATGTTGAAGTCCCTTACATGTATATTGCCATGTTTCAGGTGCATGAATGCTCCAGCAAGTCTTACTAAAGAAGAGGTTGACATGTGTGAATCGTTACTGAAGCTGTACAGAGAGGCGAACAAGAACAACGGTAAGACAGGACATGTTTAACACATTATGTTGATTTTTAGTAAGATATCTTATAGTTGTCTGAGCTATTGCCTGGTCAAATCCTACATGCCACCATTATTACTAAAATTCCACTGCATGTGGGGACTTAAATGACCAGTGCAATGATTGAAAAAAAAAAGATAATTGGTT